GAAGTTGTGGGTGTTTCAACACTGGAGCTTTTTAAGAAGAGATTGGACAACCATTTGTCTGAAATGGTATAGGGTTTCCTACCTGAGCAGGGGGTTGGACTAGAAGACCTCCAAAGTCCCTTCCAACTCTGTTATTCTGTTAAAGAAATGTTAATATGTGAATATGGTTTATTTATGAAAGGGCTGTGGGAACTTCTTTATATTCATGCTTCATTGAGTAGAGCTGGCGATGTCATGGTTGTATCCATGTAGTTTTCTTAGCACAAGTTCAGAATAGACTTGCCACTAATGTTTCCTGATTTTTCCCCCTATCTTTTCAATCTAGCCATGACACTCTTACCCAAGTATCAGGTTCAGCCTTACTTAGTTTTCAAGGCCAGACAACATTAGTCAGATAATACCTGATAACATGATGGAGGTTGGTAGTCCATCTGAATAATTCCATTTTCAGTCCCCACTCTAAGAACATGGGCACATTAACAGACTGCTTCCTTAGACAGAGGTCCTGCATGCCTTTTGTCCAAGTCTCATAGTTTGATACTGAAAAAATATTAATGCATATGTAAACTTCTCCTCAATAACAGCAATTTAAATTTGCAAGGATGAATTCACCTATTTAATAGGAACAAGCCTTGACCTGAAACTTAATTACATCCAAAGCTAAAGGTAGCATCATTTGGTTAATAGGGGTTATTTTCAGGATTTAGAATGTTTAATTTGTAAGAAAATAGCTTTATACAAAAATATATTGACATAAAAAGTATTAAGAAATTTGTAGTTAAATGTGGTTGTAGGCTAGTTTGAAAATGCAAAAATAGTATGGGAAAGATCTATGAATAAATACTGCACTAAGATGCTGTGAGACTCCACAGCAAACTCACAAGGACACAATGGAATCATAAACTACCAGCTTGAGGTAGTTCAGAACTGACTGGCTGGCAAATTCTGGGAGTTGAATTCCACGAGACTGGGAAAAATCTAGGGAATTCTGGAGTTAAATCCACAAGCCTTAAAGTTGCCAAGGTTGGACACCCCTGCCCTAAAGGCACCAAGAAAAAAATTATGGACATGTTAAGGAAACTATGAACGTAGACAGTTTGTGAACCTTTGGATAAATGTATATAACAAACTAATTTGAAAAGGGTTATTTTACCTATCTTGAGCTCAAGTTTAGGAATGTAAAACAATTTTAATTCCAAATTGGCTGGATGTTAGTTTGAGTGTTCCAGTCCAACCAGAAGAGATAACAATTTTTTTCTTAAGCTTTTGCCTAATACTAATAATAAAAATCTGTTAAAAAATTGGAAAAAATTACAATGCTTGAAACTTACATGCTAACACAACAACTGGTGTTAAAAACAAAAGCTTATCTTAGAGACAATTGAATTTTAAAAATTTATATCATGGAATTATATAAGAGTGATTTGCATTTTTAATAAAGAGTTTATAGTAACCATTCCATAAATTAAAGGAAGATGCATAATATGTATCTGCATATTATGCAAGGCTATAGACATACAGTTACAAAATTGTATGTACTTTTTTGGGGAGGGGAATCCAACTGGTGGATTCAAACATTGGCACAATATCCTGTATAAAAAATACAGATAAGATGATGTGATATAATAAGTCCCCAGGTTTGTGGAGCTTGATAAAACTATAGTTATTAGTTAGTTTAGACTGTAGCAACAGGATGGGGATCTCCCTTCTACCCAGCAAGATTCCTTCCAGAGCTACTGAATCTTGTCAACTGGCCTGGCATTGAAGCTTCATCAGTTAAGAAAATTACAGAGAAATATATTAAAAACAACATGATATCAAATCCCATAACTACAAAAAGAAAGAACAGATGGGGGTGAAATTTAAACAAAACTAAGTAGTCCATTATATGCAAGATGAGAAAAACAACTAATTGCAAGAGGAGCTGGTTTCCACACACTGGGCTCTCAAATCATAGCAATTGCTGAAATTCTTTCATAATGGCTTCCATTTTCTTCAATAAACATTACTTATCTTTTCATTCCTGCCCAGGTTTAGATAGGTAGATACAGTAAATAGTCATACTGAGCTGTGGTGGTGCAGTGGTTAGAATGCAGTACTGCAGGCTACTTCTGCTGATTGCCGGCTGCCTGTAGTTTGGCAGTTCCGAGTTTTACCAGCTCAAGGTTAACTCAGCCTTCCATCCTCCAAGAGCGGTAAAATGATGACCCAGATTGTTGAGGGCAATATGCTGACATTGTAAACTGCTCAGAGAGGGCTATAAAGCACTGTGAAGCGGTATATAAGTTTAAGGGCTATTGCTATAAGATGCCCAAATCATGTATCATTATTGATTGAGTGAGTGATTGAGTGAATGAATGAAGGAATGAATGATAGAAAGAAATAGTTTGTCACAATTCATTGGTATTCAAGGTCTTAATACATGGGAGTGGGAAATACTCGAAGATGAAGTCAACAAAATAAGGAAAATCTTCACAGCAGAGAACAAATGCCATCATGGCAGCACTTAAAGTCTTGATGTTGCAGGCTGAGAGATGACTGTGTAAATCAATAAAATTGGTAGGGTAGGGAAATACCTGTTTTCTGTTATTAAGATGGTTGGGACGTAAGGCTACAGGTCAAATGTTATCTGGCAGCTGTTGTGAGAGACAGAAAGTCAGGACTCTGGTGTTTTATTTCTGGCTGTACCATTGATTTTATTTGGGAAGGAACAACTTAGCTGTGCTCTGGCTTTCCACTGAAAAACTACAGGTGGCCACTAAGATTTGCTTGAAGACTTCAAAGACGAAAGATGTATCAAAATGAAAACATGTATCTTTAATCCTCGGCTCCTGGAACCATCTCTTGAGTGAAGTTGGGTGGCATCTCAGCAGTACTATGACATTCAAAATATTTATCCAGTTGCAGTTAAAGCTTTATGAATCTTTTGAATTTATGTTTAGGAATATCTCATTTTTTGCATGCTAAGTTCCAAAGATTTCAGAATTATTTGCTTTGGATTTATTTATTTATTTATTGGCAATGCCAAAAAATGCTGACTGCATATAAAATAAGATAGCTTTCTTAGATTAGGTGGAAGTTATGGAAGTTGGTGCTGAAGAAAAGCATGAGAAGAAGTTCAAAAAGTGGAAACAGATGCTTCAATGTTAGGAAATAAATCATTAAAAACTTACGTTTTCCAACATAGAGACATTAAAGTGCTAATTTTCTTATTGAGGTTAGAGCACTTCTCCAGTCCAAACTATGTTTCTACAAAACAACAGGTTGCCTGGGTTGTCAAGCAATCACTATTATATCCTTTAAAATAATTTCAAGTGCATTAAAGACAGAAAAAAATCTACCATTGTGTTGTTCTTCAGAATCCATTCCCCAACAGAACTACTAATCTCCTCACCCCCCCACCCCAAATAATCAATTTTCTCTATGAGAAATGCAGTTTAGTAGATATCAGGAATTCCACCAGTACAGCTATTATATAAATGAGAACATTGATCCTTCTCCAGAAATATTTACTCAAAAGGGTATTTATTCTGGTAAGAAGTGCATTCCTATTTTAGCAGCAATAAGTATCTGTGGACATATTTGGCTTCTAGAAATTATAGTTCAAAAGCATCTAGGCAAGGCAAAATTTCCCCATCTCTGGCACAAAGCTTGGATATACAGTAGGATCCAGCTGTTCCTTCACATAGAAATAAAACTTGTCAATAGCAAGGAGTGACATTTCAGCTAAGTGTCTACTTTGCATAGTCCTGTTAAGGCAAGACATGTCCTGTTTGAAATTATGCCTTGTTTGAATAAGAAAGCCATGAGGCTGACTGATTAGGAAGAATTTGTTAATCTCTCTCTCTCTCTCTCTCTCTCTCTCTCTCTCCCCTCTCTCTCTCTCTCCCTCCCTCTCTCCCTCTCCCTCTCTCTCCCCCCCTCTCTCTCCCTTTCCCTCTCTCTCCCTCCCTCTGTCTCTCATTTTAAAGCAACAGGCTTCAGTTTTATATGAGCTTAACAACTATGAAAATTTGTCCTTCAATTCATTGGGGGGAAAATGAGGTGTTTTTTTTTACGACGGTGGAATAAATTAATGAATCCACTGCGGCAAAATACTTGTTTAGCATCTATTTTTGACCACCTCCCCCAATTCATTAAACTGAATTAGGGTTGTCATTCCTTTTTCTACCAGACATCACTTTTTAAAACCATTCACATGGAAGGGATCCACAAATAAAAATAATGGCATTAGTTCAACCCATAGCCTGGGGCCCAGATAGCATCACTAACTGTTCTTGAACACTCTTTACACATAGAAGTCAACCATGCAAACAGAAAGCTGGTGGTCAAGAGGAGAGTCTTATAATGTTCCAAAAAAAATGGAGGAATCTGTAAAGAGGGAGAGAATTAAAAAAAATCAAGAGGGTGGTGGTAAGGATGCAAAGTCCTGCCCTTGTTTATGAGGTTTGCAATCTTGTAATCCATTTTAGCTAAATGAAGTGCCAAGCTAAGTAACAAAGCAAAACAAAATCCAGAATTTTAATGGGCTGTAGTAAATTAATGCTTTTGATTTTAAATTTTTGCAGTTTTCCTTAATACCTATTGACTGATATTTTAACTTACAAGCCTTGATTGTAATTTTAAAACCAAGGATAGAAATGTTAAAGCATGAATGAATATGGTTTTCTGGAACAGCATGAGACAATTCACTAAAATATTCCCACAAGAGAAATTCATTATATAGAAGTCACAGAGTTCAGCACCAACTGGGACAAAACTGGGACAATCAAATGAGCAGATGAGAGCCCATCATTTACAGTCTAGCCAACTCAAGGGTGGGTTGTGTGTGTGTATAAAATAAGAAGCCATGTCCCAATAGCTTTGAGACCAGTATAATTTGATTATGTACCTCCTACCTCAAATCAGTTACCCTTTTATTGTAGCTTGCATCAGGCAAAGATGGTTGCTCAGTCTTTGGTTAAGTTAAAGTGAGTGAAAATTCTCCCAGTACTACCAACAGGATCTGTACTTTCCTTGCCTTTGTTGAAAATCTGGAAGATATTTTAACCAAAAGAAGAAAGGATTGCTGCTCCCAAACCTTTGATCAGTCTTAGTCAACCAGCACGTGGTTTTCCGTCCCAGTAGAATGAACTAGCTTGTTAAGAGCTTTTTCCATTAGAGTAATCATCACCTCCTGACTGCAATTTAAACAAGTGCTTCCCATCTACATCAGTGATGAGAAGGAAATAGTGTAAGGGGGAAATGCCTTGAAATGAGATAGTGTCTGCGAATAAAATCTTATGTGGTATTCAAGAGGCTGCTCCTGCATCACGATTCATGAGCTCCCATTGTCTCTCCATTTCAGAGCCCACTTGTTAGAGACTAATAAGCCTTTCATAGTTCCCAGTAAGCAACAGAGTAAGGATGTGTGTAGGTGATATCTCTCTATTCAAGCATAAGTGAGAAAGAAAAGGAGAAAGACACCGACATAGAAGATGAAATGAGTTTTGCATGTATAATGGAATACAAATTCATGCGTGGGCCGCAGATGAGTCTAAGCTTTGCAGAGTACTGCCGAAAACTAGGGAACATAGCTTCATCTACAGATTTTGGACAATGCATTTCTTAACTCCTTCTGCAAGGAAAAACAAAATAGTTACCAAAGGTCAAACTTAACACGTGAGGTATTGTCATTCGGTTAAAACAGGGGTTCCCAACTTCTGGGCCACTGCCCACTAGTTGCTGTGAGGTGTGGAAATGGTGGACAAGCATGTGCATGTGCACCCACTTGCAGAGCAGCAAACAAGAACATGCACACTATTTGCTCAAGTGGCGGGCAGGTGTGCATGCTGTTCATACAAATGGAGCACACAGACATGCTTGCCAGCTGCTCAAGCAGAAACATCCCCCCCGCTCCCCCCCACTTGATAGTTTTCATAGAATTGGCTTACCACAACCCACAATTTATAGAAATGCTACCTTTGTAGTAGCGAATTTACAAATCTTGATTGTGACTAACATTCCCAACCCAGGCTTCTGTTTCCAGATTTGAATTCCTGCTCTATGGTTGCCTTATGTAGTGACAAAAAATATGCTTTATCACTGCATTTTTATTAATGTTTATTTTCCTAAGCATTATCTTTATGTGACTCCTAGGACCAAGTCCCTCCTCCTAGATTGCCATGTAAACATTTTAAGAACTGTCTTGGTTTCTGAAAAGAAAAAAAAATCTTTTTCCCTCTCCCTTATTCTCTTTTACTTTGTACTGCTTTCTGGAAGATGAGCAGCTTCCTTGAAACTCTTTTGCCACTGAAATATAGCATCCATTTACAAATCAGATGAGGGGGAAAAGAGCAAAGTGGAAAGAAGCCACTTTCAGAAAGGAGCTGAGCACAACAAGGAAATAAAAAGATGAATAAAGCTGTCACTGGCCTTTTCTTTATGTTGCTCAGGCAGTTATTAGGTGCCCAGGAAAAAGGCAGATGAGATATATAGTTCCTAATACATCGTCCATAATATACCACTGTACAGAAGGCATACAACTTTTCAAAGAGTTGTCAGGATGGAAAAATATTGTATTTTATTGAGAAAAATATGACCAGAAGGCTATAGAATACACATTTGGGCAGAGGGAGGGATCTCTAAAATAAACAAACTGCAAATGCTTTTCTCTTTTCCCATTCTCTGTGGGTGAAAAATGGAGAAATTATTAAGTGTTTATAGTTAAGTAGGATGAAATGTTTTATAGCCCATAAAATACAATTGACTGAACTGCTAAGAGTGAATAGTACATAGAGCATTGGCAAGCACATCCACTTCCAAATCTATATCCTTCCAGCTAATCATGTAAGCACATTGAATATGCAGATGTTCTCAAGCTATCCAGTCCTCTACTGTTATCTGGATAGCTGTAGCACCAAGTGCTGGCTTCTTATAATACTGATACTGTTTTTTTATGTTGTTTATTTCAGATTTATAGGGCTGCCAGACTCCCACAATGTGGCTCTGGACTGCATGCTACATAAACAAACAAGTTAAAAAAGGAAAAGAGAAAACTAACTACAACAACCAGGCAATATATAAATACAAAACTTTCTGCTGACTTGACTATGGCTGATCACCTTCCAGCAGCCAATGGTGGGACCAATCCACCAGGCTACAGATAGCCAGGGTGGGATCAGAGTACCTGATCTCCAGTGAACAAAAGAGGGGGCAGTCTACCCAGTCTTCAGAGTGCAAGAGTAGGACTGGTCTATCAAACCACTCAGCAGCATTGTGGCAGCATGGCAACACTGAAGCAACCACAAATGTGTCAAATTTCAATCCCATGAGAGTCATGGGCCCCAAATTTTGAATGCATCCTGCAAGTTAGTCCAATTGAGGTTTTGTTGTTGTTCAGTCACTAAGTTTTGTCTGACTCTTAAGAGACCCCATGGACCATAGCATGCCAGGACTCCCTGTCCTTCCACTGTCTCTCTGAGTGTGTCCAAAGTCATGCCTACTACATTGATGACCCTATCTAACCATCTCATCCTCTGCTGTCTCCTTCTCCTTTTATCTTCAATCTTCCCCAACTTCAGGGTCTTTTCCAATGAGTCCTTTCTTCTCCTTCGATGGCCAAAGTATTTGAGCTTCAGCTTCAGTATCTGTCCTTCCAAAGAGTAGCCAGGGTTGATTTCCTTTAGGATTGACTGATTTGATCTCTTTGCAGTCCAAAGGACATTCAAGAGTCTTCTACAACACCACAATTTTAAAGCATCAAGCATACATTCCTCAGCACTCAGCCTTCCTTATGGTTCAACTGTCACAGCCATACAATACTATTTGAGGTATCTGTGTTCACTCAGCTAAAAGTTCTATGCTTAGGAATTTTAGTAGTATATAGATAATTCATTAGAAACTGAACACAAAAGTGTTCATTGACTAGAGATGGTTACTGCCAGTTAAAATGTGTAAAAATTGCAACAAATATTGACTAAAACCATGTAAATAGTTAGAATGAGCTTCATTTTTTCCCAACTATTCAAAGTATGTGGAAAATTCTTCTAAAGTATTTCTATTTCATAAAGACAGGTCTGGCCTAAGATATTTTGTTGGTGATGTTTAACAGCATGATAACACTCTCCTTTTCCTTCCCCCTCCAGTGGTGGATTCAGCCGGTTTGTACTGGTTCATGCAAACCAGTTGTTAAATTACCCCTCCCCCACTATCAAAGTGGATCCTGGGTGCTGCACTGCAATGAAGAAATGGGAAATTGAGCGGCTGGCATGAGGGAAGGAGAATGCCACTTTCTCTCTTTCTATTCCCTGCTTCTCCTCCTTCCCTCGTACCAGCTGCTCCATTGCCTGTTTCTCCATTGAAGCACAGTGCAATGCCCAGGATCCACTTTGATAGCGGGGTGTGGTGTATAATTTAACAACCGGTTTGCCCAGGGTAAGGTTGGTCATCACAGGAGGCTTGTCCCACATGTGTGGTAGAGATGTAGGATGGGCCACACCTCCCACGACAGGCTAGCTGAGGGATCATTGTAAACTTCAAGAGAGGAGGATGGTTGACCTGCCCAGGGAACACAGCAGGAGGAACACCTATAACAATATTGTGTTGGAGGCAGCTTCCCATGCTAATTGTTGGGGTGACCTTGGAGTGAGCTTGGGAGAATAGAATCTTGGGAATGGATAAACTGTATTTTTGTATATGTGCATATTGCACAAATATCTGGTACAAATAGTTTTGCTTGCGATGGAAGCAAGAGAGAATTTTAATGAAAATCACACTAAGAAGTTAAATTGTTCCCTCACCTATAGCACTTATTCAAATTAAAATAAAGCACACATATATTGCTTTCTTTTCTAAAATTAACGTTTAACATTGAAATTAATATAGGGTCCCTAAAATAAAGTTATACAATATTCAACTCTCATACCAGGCAAAAATTAAAAAATAAACTTGTAACTCTTTCCTTACACTATTGCATTATGGATAGTAATGGATGTATATATATTCTTAATCAAGTACCATAATGTATAAAAGAGTATCTATGATCATCTAGCAAATACTTTAATATCTCTGTAAATGGAAAAGAAATTTTAGATTTTTGCAGATACAGGGTTTTGAATTTTGAGTAATTTATAACCTGAGGAATTTTTATTTATCTATACCCCCATTCTGTTACTGATGGAATTTGATTATTACCTCAATGTTTCACATAATGTAATATTAAAAATAATTCTCTTTTAAAGAGAATTATTACATAATTTTTTCATTTCACATTCTTCCTTTTTTTTCTAACCATATTCTTAATTTATAAGTAATATTTAACTTGCTTCTTAGCAGATATGAAAAAAAAAAGTCAGTGTGTTCTCTTCCACCCCAATTCCTATCTATATTACTTTTCTAGCATTATTACCATCTGGACACATTTTAGAGCAATTTTCAAATATATGAACACATAATGAAAAGACCTCTGTCTCTGGGTATGTATTCCCTTTCCTCAAACTTAATTGAAATTCTTATGTCTTAAATTGTTACCTTTTATTTTTATTCCTTGTACATTTAGGGCATTTGGTTTATTGTCACACAAGTTGCAATATGTACATTTTAACCCTGAGTGGGAAGAAAACTTTGAACAGAGTGGACTGGAGAGACACAAGACAATAATAACAATAGGAGTAAGAACAGAAATGGTCAATTAATCCTTTGGATGAATGCTTAATTCTCCATCCAGATCAGGGTTGGGCTGCTACTGGTTCACACTGGTTCGTGCGAACTGGATGTTAATTTTACATTTGGTTCGCCAAACCGGTAGTTCCAATGACTGGCTGGCACTGCCCACCTCTCCTCTCCCAGGAGTCTCCATGTGGCTCATTTTGGAACCCAGCTAAGTGCAGGCCCCATGCGGAGGCTTGAGTAGGGAAAAAAATGGGCCTCCCGGAGGCTCCAGGAGGCTGGAAATGGGCCTATTTCTGGCCACCACAGAGCCTCTGGAGCCTGGGTAGGGGGGAAGCGGGCCTCCCGGAGGCTTGAGGAGAACCTC